GTAATTTAAAATTTAAGCCCTTGCGGGTTTAAAAATGAGTCGTGAGGTACCCAAACCCATGGCGTCGAAAAGGGTGGGGGGGGTACCCCGGGTGCACCATATGGGGGGGTGACCTAAGGCCTCAAAGAAGGTGACACTAATGCACAAAAACAGGGCGCCCCAACATAAAAGAAAAACCCTTCTTTTCTGTATAGCCTTTTATGTGATTACAGGTACAAGTATGGGGGAAAATCAGTTTTGATGATGTGTAGATTTTTTTGCAGGATTGGGGAAAGGGAAAATAAAAAATACTTTCACTGAATGTTACGGTACTCACGGAACTTGTTTTTTCTCTGATCTATTGCAGTGTTTTTCTTTTTTTTAAAGTTTTTTTTTTTTGCATTTTTTAAAAATGAATAACGGTAGAATTGTTACCTTTATCTTGTGGTATTTGAGTTTGTTTCCCATATATTTGATTTTTATTTTTTCTTAATAAAGTTGAGAAGGTATTTCCGTAGGTTTATGGCCCTAAACATTCTCATTGCTAAAATTTGTCATGGGCATGTATCAGTGATGTAAGGGAAAATTTACTCCCCCCCCATCCCCCCACCCTTGGATTTCACGTGGGTGACACCAAAAGTATAGGTAGTAGGTTGGAGACGAAAACCGCCCAGGGAGGTACTACCGTCCGCCAATGAGTGTAAAAAAAAAAGCCTGAATTGTTTTACATGATGGTGGGATTGCTGGGTCCTTTTTTTGTCTCATGAACAGAAAGTTTTCGGTACGTCTTGCACTTTACACACTTAGGTCCACTACACCATGTAAAAGCCATTATACACACCCCCTCGGGGTTTTCTTTATTTTCTTTCTAGTTCTTATTTTTGTTATTTCCTCTTACCCTCCAGGGGGAAGTGGAAAAATTTTTCCTCCGTAAGCCTGCGTGTTGTAAGAGGCGAAAAATGCCGGGAGCAAGGGGGTAGTAACCTCTTTCCTGTATTATTATAAATGTAAAAGGAAAAATTTTTCTTTTTCCCTTTTTTGGGCCCCCCCGCCTGGTGGGAACGGCCGGGTGTTGAAAAAGAAGAAAGACACCAAAGATGCCGCCCCGGGTACACCAAAATTCCGCCCCAGGACCCAAACCCTGAAACCCCACGACCCTGCCCCATGAACTTGTTTAGCCTTTGGTTGGGGTTTTCATCAAGTTCGGTACTTTCCCACACATGTAATATTGAAGTTTGAATTCGTAAAGACTATAAAAAATTTTTTTAAGTGTTTACTGTTTATATTTTTCGCATCGTTTAAATACCATACTAAGTAATCAAATAAATGACAGAGAAAAAATTTTTTTTTTTTCTTTTAATTTGTATACTTCTCTAACGGGTCTTTTGTATACTTTCAGTCAAGCTAGCATGTTTTGCACTAATCCCATCAAATATATGCTGGAATCAAATGGACTGGAATGTGGACAGGCCATAGTGATTGGGGGCAAAAATTGTGGTGTTAAACCGGTGGGGGGGAGGATACCAGGCTGAATCTATTACTTCTCATTGTGTATCCATTCCCTTTATTGTTTTTTCCTGGGCTTGTTCTATTATAACCGGTAGGGCTCTAAACCTCCTTTTAAATCCCTTTTTGGTATTTTTTTTGATATTAGAGTGAATTAGTTTTTGTAAACAAATTTTGTTTATCTTATTTGGATTGGCTGTGTTGTTTTTATACATAAAGGCCAAGAAAATTAAACATATTTTTCTTTTTTTAAACGGTACCCCTGCAAAGCTTTGTAGGTGACCATTTACCTACTTTGCAGGGTGTTTTTTTGCAGGGGGTTTGCATCTTTGGCCCCTTTAGCAAGAAGTTTTGTTATTTTTCCCTGCCCAGTCTTCAATTTCCCGTATTCTGTTCTAACTTTTTCATTTTGACCTTGCCAAGACCGTTTCCCTAGTAAGTAATTTCTTTGTATCTCAAAGCACTTTTTGAATTGGTTTGATACTTTCTTTTTTTATTTTTCTTTGGTGTGCTTAATTTTTTTTTAATTATCTACTCAAATTATTGTACGGAGGAATACGTTCATATTGTCAGTCTTTTGTTTTTGGGAAAAAAAAAAAAAAATTCCATGTTCATGCATTTATATTCTTTTTGTAAACCATTCTATTTTTTGCCCCACTGTTTTAAAGAAAAATTCCCTAGTTTTTTTTGGGGAAATTCTTTTTCGTTTAAAAACTATGGCCCCTTGTCTACCATTTGATCAATCCCTCTTGCTCCTTTTATAATCTTGAAAGTGTTTTATCATGTCTCCTCTTTCCTCCTGTCATCTAAAAGGTATATCCGTGTTAAAATGTATTTTTGGAATTCATCTATTTAATTCTGCCAGCTATTTGATTGTGCAGATGTGACGCTTGAGTTTGTGCCCATGTTTAAAATCCTCCCCTTTACTTTAATGAGGGGGTTTCCATTCCTAACAGTAGGTTGGAAAACAAATTGGTCATTAAGTCGAGCAATTTAATTGGAGGGGGTTTGTGTCGCCATCTTTAGATTTTTTTAATGTCACTTTGCCCCATTTATAACTTTTCTAAATTATTTTTAAATGTTTTGCAGTAGTTTACTGTATACTTTAAGCAGAATAGAGGAAATGGGGTTAAATGCTTTTTTGGGTTTTGCTACATTGGAGAGCTGGCTAAGTCTGGGGGTTGGAAAACGAGAATGTTACTAAGTGAGGAGAGGCTGACTTGCTCCACTTTGCATTTTTTCCCTATACTCTGTCCTCTTCGTTGGGAAATGCGTTAACAATCACTACCTATTTTTTGCATGTCAAATACTTTGTGATGCGAACACAGCTTTTTTATAGCACCACATTGTACGATAGCAAAAAGATTCATTTTGTAACATTTCCTTGACAAAAGAATTAGAACTATGTAATATCCAGGTATTTTATTTGAAGATTTTTTTCCCCAAGAAGTGGTTTATAAATTCATTTGAAACTTGAAGGTGTTAAAAATGGAAAAAGTGATGATGAGGTAACATTTCCCCCAGCCTTGAATGACCCTTCAAATTACCTCGTTTTGAATTGATAAAGCTTGGGTTGTGAAAAAATCCTAAGAAAAAGATACCCAAGGGTTTTGTTTGGGGTTTTCAAAAATGTAACCCGATTGTAATGTTTTTATTTGATTGTTTCATAGAACCTGGTGTATATAAGAAAGAGATGTTTGTGCGTTTATGAAAGAAAGAAAGGGGATACCGGGCTTTAGTGAAGAAAAGCGAAGGGGGCAGGAGAGTTCGTGGGGAGAAAAAATGGGTTAGGCGGGTTTAATTGAGTTAGAGCTAAAAAAGGAGTAGCAATAATGTTGAAGGGGTAAACTTGGCAGAAAAAAGATAATATAAATGTATAAAATTTAAGGTTTTTTAGTAAATAAGGGTTGGATGGAAAAGGGGGGGGTTTTTTTTAAGCATTTGTGCACCGGAAAAGAGAGAAGGTAGAGAGAGAGAATATTTTGGAAAGTTTTAGTGAGTGCGTGGGGGGGGTTTTTAACCAAATGTGAAAGTACTTGTGGTTGGGGATTTCAGTGCTAAAGTGGTATAAAGTTTGTTGGGAGTAGTAGGAAAAATTTGGGGGGCCAGGGGGGAAATGAATATGGGAGCCCTTTAATTGAGCTATGTGTAGAAGAGATTTTGGGAATAAATAATACATATTTTATAAAAAAAGGATAAAAAAATATACAAGGTATGATTAGCACGTAATGAAAGTATTTTTTAGGGTTATGTATTGGTGGAAAAAAGGTTATGGGGGAGGTTTCAGGATGTACTGTTTAAGAGGGGAATGATTATTGAATCTTATTTAGTTGTAGTTCAGTTTGAGTAAGAGGTAGAGGGGGTGAAAGGAAAATGGAAACAAGTAAGAGAAGGGAAAATGCATAAACTAAGGGAGGGGGGAAATTAAGGGGAATATAAGAACTTTGACAGATGGTGGGTAGTGCAAGTAGAGTAGTGGGGTGGGGGGGGGGGGGTTTAAGAGGGTTGGAATATTTTTTAAAAAGCAGTTTAGAAAGTGGGGGGGGAAATTTTGGGCTATAGGAAGGTGGGTGCAGGAGAAAAAAGGAGGATTGGTGGAAGTAAAGTAAAGGTGTGATAAAAAAAAAAAAGGTGCTTATGAGAGGTTTTTTTAAAGCATAAGGTTATAAGAAGACAAATTATGGAGAGTAAAAAGAAAAGGGGAAGAGATGGTGAGAGAGTGCAAAGGGAGAGATGATAGGTTGGAGAGGCCTATCAAGAAATTTTGATGAAAAAAAAAAAAATTTTGGAGTGAGATAAAAAAAGTTAAGAAAACCTAGGAATGAATGGGTTTGTCAGTTAAAAAAAGAGTAGGGGATTGTAGTGGGGGGCTTTGGGGGTATTGATAATGGAGAAAATTTTTAGGAACTTTAAATGGATGAAAAAGGGGGCAGTAAATTTTTTGCACTGGCAGGGGGGTATAACATCTTTTAGGAAGAAGAAGAGCAGGATGTGAGTGTGGGGGGGATT